TGTATAGGGTATTATGCAATAGTCCTCCAAACTCCCTTTCAAACTCTGTAACTCCAGGTGTGCAGAGAACAGCAAAATCAAAAATGGGGTGTGGCCGAACATCTAGGTATCTTGGTGGCATTCTTCAGGTCGTCTTTCTTGCCTTGTACTTTTGCTGCTAATGTCCTTTCATTTCTTCCTCTGTAATCTCCCTTGATGTTACTCCTTTCTATCCTAGCTTCCACTCCCCTAATTCAGGCCCTTTCCCCATCATTGCGTGTACTTTGTAAATAGTCACAGGTGTTTATGTGTGCTGTGCAAGACCTCCATCAGGTTAACTTGCCTGATGTCAGGCTGGATTCAGTAATTTCCCTGCTCCAGAGTCGCCAGTGGCACTGTGTGGTTTGCTGAGTGAAGTTTATAGCACTCAGGGAGCACTGGCATCTCTCCTGCCTGGCCCCAGACTCCCTTTGTAGTGCAGTAATAGCTAATGTCAGAGTGGTCACCATGTACCAGCCAGGCCTCTCTGGGCATTATTTCAGTTGATCCTATAGCAACACTGTGATGTCATCAACAATCCTCGTGATGCACTATCATTATTATCTCCATTTTATAATCGAGAAAATTGAGGCATGGAATAGTCATGTTACTTGTCCAAGCCTATACAGAGTACTGAATGATGGAGTCAGGATTGGAACCCAGGCAGTCTGACTCAAGATTGCCTGTATTACACTGTGCTGTGGGAAAGAGAGATAATCCAGCTACATATGATTGCTTACTTTTTCTTAGACACATCATATACTTTCTTGAGCATATCATATATATTTGTTCTTATTCTCCCATTTGAAAATGTTAATTTCACACTTATCTACCTTTTGAAGTCCTGTCGTTCCTTCAAAGCCCAGGAGGACTGCTTCCTTCATGAATCAAGATATCACCTCCTCCTGGTTGGAACTGAACTTCTCACTCTTGAAAGTTTCACTCCCTGAATTCTTTCTTGTTACATATGTGTATATGTGTGTGTCTCCTCCACTGATACTCTTTGTGCCTTCTCCAGCCTTTACACATAATGGACACTTAAGTATTGACTGACTTGAATTGCATTCAAGGCCTCGATTACTAAGCTGAAGTATGAACTTGATCCAGCAGGTAATTTAGAGTCCATACTGGTTCTTTAGTGTGGGAATTTTAAGATTGATGGGTGTTTTAGGAGCGTAAGCATTGTGATATTCCATAGAATTACTTTAGGAAAGCTAATTCTGGAGGCAGAAACTAGTTAGGAGCCTACCACAGAATTGCGATAATAAGGTGGCTTGTGCCATAAAGAAGAAAAAGCGTAATGAGGGAAAGAACTCTTAATATGGCCTTATTTAAATTTTGCCCACAGGAATTTCCTTTCCATCCCCATTGCTGAGCTGAGGGTTTTATTCCTCTCTCTTCCCTTTCCCCCTTCTCTTGTGGTTTTTGCTTTTTTCCTCTGCCTCCCTGGCCAATCCAGCCTTCCAGGGCCATTCTGGGGGTGACCCAAAGCAAGGGGAGTGAATGATTTTTCCCCAAGTTGGTCTTACCTACAGGTTTCGATTTTCTGTCCTTTCAGATCCCTGTGCTCTCAAACCCCATACAAATCCACCTTCCAGAGCCTCTGCTCCAGATTTTAAAAGCAGTATGCCAAAGTGGGATGATACATATGGAAGGAAGGAAGCTTTTTCCATGTCCGTTCCTGATCCCAACCCCGTTTTAAGTGCCCCTTTCAGTAGTACCTGGGGCTAACCTTATCACGGCTTTATACTGTGAATTTTGCTTGCTTGTCACCCATACTAGACCCTCATCTCCATTGAGGGTGGGAAGCAGGCCTATTTTAGCACAGTGCCTGGATCTGTAAATATTCGCTGAATGCTGACTGAGTTTTCTTGGCTTTAGAGCTAAGTATTTGAGAATTAAATAGGATTTTCTTTAGTTGATCTGCGAACTGCTGAACCAGCAAGCGTATTATATTTAACGTGTTTCCATGGGTAAAAGAAGGCAATTACTGGGCATCAATCATGTGTGCCTTGGCACCTTTTAAATGTTTCATTTAATCATTCTAATAACCTTGCAAAGTAGGTGGTATTATCCCCATTTTTACCAATGAAGTTCTTGAGATTTGGAAGTTATGTAACGTACCCCAGGCTGGTGAAATGCTTACATCACAACTGCAATTTCTCTGATACTATATATTTTTTGAAATAGGACATGCTCAAATTTGAGGACAGCCGTAGGTACAGTTAAGACACCACATGTCGACTTATTTGAACTT